GCCAGATAGGTCAAAAAATGAACAAGTACCCCCCAAAAGCCCCTTATGTACTTTATATATCCAAGGCCAGGCTGGACAGGGCTTGGAGCAGCCTGGGACAGTGGAAAGTGTCCCTGCCATGGCAGGGGTGGTACAAGATGGGCTTTAAGGTTCCTCCCCACCCAAACCATCCCAGGATTGTGTGATTTGCCATTTTCTGAGCCCAAATTTGCTGCACAGACTTCTGCTGAGGTTTGCTTCAGGATTTTTTACACCACTCATAAGGAACTGGTACAGAATTCCCCACCACAGACCGTGGCTGCAGCAGCAGTTCAGGACTGAAGAGCATCCCCTCTACCTGACTAAAATCTTCTCATCTTCCCCGAGCTGGTGCTCCCAAATTTCCAGTGCCTGTGTTAAAACCCAAAATAACCCTGAAGGCTCCACAGCCAGGTAAAGCCACAGAGCAGAACTGCAAGGGAAGGAAGGAAGGAAACGAAGCAGTTGGTGTTAATTATGCAAAACAAGATGTGACTCCAAGGATGTGAGTAATGTCTGGATACAACAACAGGTGCCTGATAAGAGGGGAGGAAGCCCAGACCTTTCATCTGTGCCGCAGAAGCTGCCAGAGCTGCACTGGGAACAGAGATAAGGATTCTTAGTCACCCCCAGGGCAGTTTGCAGAGTTTATGAGGTGATTTCATAACAGGAGGGGACGTGCTGCCCGTGCCAGGGCTCCTCAGGCACCAAGATAAAGCTGGGGAGCACTTCCCGAGTGTCCCTGCATGGCTGAGCCCAGCACTGCCTCCCACCCACCCCAAACCCAGCCAGGTGACACCCAGCCACCCATCCCCGCCCTCCTGGCACAGCACCAGGCTCCTCTGGCTCCCCACAGAGGCTGCCATCCAGAGGGGAGCTCTGGGGATGGTGTTTCCCAGGGCTCCATCAGCTCCACCCTGCCAGCTCCTGCCAGGCTGCCCCTGCAGTGGAGCTGCAGCAGCACCTGCACAGCTGAGCAGGCACTGCTGCTCCCCTGGCACCTCTTGTGTGGCACCTGCTTTCTGTTTGGCATCTCCTTCCCATTTCAGGCCGTGCCCAGCCCACGATCCCACTGTTTTCCCAACACTTCTGTGGTTCCACACCAACCCCCCTCCCTCCTCTGCACAGCAGAGCAGCACAGGAACTGCTGGTTGCAATGCACCAGGGCAGGAGAATTCCTACAGCAACACCCAAACAATTTCTCTGACTTACATATGACAAATATTTGGCACAATCCACCAGTACTTATCAGTAGGACTCATCCTTCCTACTCTGCTGGAGGCATCGCGAGCATCAAAAAAATCAGGAATATGGGATGTTGCCCCAGATGGATTTTGGAGCAATGCATTTCCACTCAAGGGGCACGTTGTGTCAGTGAATTAAAAGAGAAGCATTCAGTTTTCCAGGTTTTATCAATTATTTCTAAGAGGTGATAAGATCTGAAATTCTCAGTTTTCATTTTTAACAAGAAAATTAAATCTATAGTTTCCATCCTTATAACATGCACAGCAAAGGTGAAGTAAATAATGAGAAGGAAGAGTTTCTTCTCCTTCTATCACCAAGAGATGGCAAAGCCACCCATGTGGGCATCCTTTGGTTCTGAGAGGCCAGACAGGGTTACAAACCGCCTCCTCCACAACAACCTGCACCCACTGCCAGCAAATCAGCAAATTCCACAGGCGGGATCAGCTGAGACAGGGAACGAGCTCCTTCCTCACCCCGTTACCGTGAGGCTCGATGCCAGCCAGAAAGGATTTGGAGGAGCACGAAAACCTCAGCAGATAAAGTCTACACATCTGCTCTTGATCCAGCTTACAGACAGCAGGATGCCAAGCAGGATTTCAGGCCGAACTCAGCTCCTCCACGCTCAGAACGCCCCTGAAGCCTGAGTTCTGCGCTCCCCAGGGGGTTGCACTTTCACTTGCCTAAATTGCCTGCATATTTGCTTTTTTCTGATGGCAGATTAGGAACCGTGCATTTCCTTCAACCGCCAGCTTTGGGCCAAGACACACACGCCCTGCCTGGAGCTCTGCCAGCCCACACAGCAGAGGCAGAGCTGGAGAACCGCTCGGTGGAGCTGCTCCGAGGGGAGCCCGGCAGCTGCTGACTGCCAGCACCGACACAGCCCCAGCTCTGCAGGCCAGCCAGGCTGCTCCCAGCATGGACAGGAACTCAGTGGAAGGACTGCAGAGGCAAAGCAAGCGTGGCAGCACCACAATCATCCCAGAGAAGAAATCGCCATCAAAAATCTGCGGTCATTTCAAGGTTTAAACGGGTGTGAAATGAGCCAGCAATTAATTTCCTGCATGAGGAAGGAGTGCAGAGTTCAGTATCAGCAGCACTGCCAATGTGTATAAACTTATTTCATGTCCTGGGATAAGTGGTATTTCCCTTAAAGCCTCAGCTTCCAGAATCCACAATGATAACACAACGCTCCTCCCTGGCACTGCAGCAGCCCCAGAGCCCTCCTGGGCTGACAAGGAATCTCCTCCCCACAGGCACAACCTGCTTTCCACAGCAGCATGAGGAGATTTGGGGAGCAGAGCATCAGCAGAGGTGAGCAGAACACCACCATCCCTCCCCTGCTCAGCCCAGCACGGGCATCTCCAGCTCCTCTGTGTGCAGAGGGACTCCAGAGGAGCAGGAATCTCCAGAGTGCAGAGCATCCACCACTCTCCCCCTGGGCTTCTGCCCCAGTGACCCCAGCTCAGCTTCTGGATCCTGATCCTGATCCTGATCCTGATCCAGAGCAGAGCCCACTGGCACAGACGGGAACAGCAGCTTGGAGGAACCCACACACAATTCCAAACCCACACACAATTCACACAATTCCAAATCCATGCACAATTCCAAACCCAAAGCCTTGTGTGCCTGGGCACAGCAACCAGGCTAAGATCTAGCCAGAAACACCTTTGTCCATAGGGGAGAATTAGTCAAATCATGTTTTCAATATGTTTTAAGGAAGAGGTGAATTAGCTCCAAGATTTACAATCTCATCATTCTCTGCTTGAAAAGGTTTCATCAATCCACAGCCATGCCAGCAATATTCCCTCTTTTCTCTCACACAGCCAGACCCCATTTCCTCCTCACCCCTTCACACCTGGATAATCATTTTTGCTTCCCCTTCCCAGATTTATTGCTGGGGGGTTTTAGGAGGGCAGGGGCTGGCAGGGCAGGGGCTGGGGCTGCTGTGGGATTCTTGCCTCTTGACTCTGCCACTGCTGCGAACACTGGCAGCACTCAAATCAAGGTGCAGAATTTACCCGGTGCCACCAGTGGTGCAAAATGATGGGGTCAGAGATTTTTTTTTTTTTTTTTTTTTTTTTTTTTTTTTTTTTGTGTGCTCAGGAATTTGAGTCTCTCAGCTTTGGGCTGGTTTCCAGCACAAAATACAGCATGATTATATATTTTTATGTTTTCTTCTATAAAAGCTTTTTTAAAATCACATTTTCTTCCATTATCTCTTTATTTGCCAATTTCCAAAACCATAGACATCCAATTTCTCTGCCTGCCTGTCCTTCCAGCAGTACTTCACTGCAAAGAACACAACCGGTAACAAAGCAACACTTTCACCAACCGCCTTCTATTTCTTTTCAAAAGCACCCAGCTGATAGATTTGAAGGCCAGTAAGATTTTATGCAACCTTCTGGAAAAGCTGCTCTTTAGGGAGTCTCCATCTTCTGTCCTTTCCTTGTTAAATTGCATTTGCCCATGACTCATACCAGGGCTCCCACTCAGAAACGTGTCTGCCCTCGGAGACAAACACACCTAAGAAAAATGATCGGCCTCAGAGCTCTCGGAGGGAGGAATCCTTCCTGGAGAAAGAAATCTCCCTGCTTTTGTATCTGCGGTAACATACATTGTTTGTATTAGCACTAAATAAATAAACAACGGGGTTTTCTTTTCAGTGTTGTGCAAGCTTTGAAATACACACGCCATAAATAGGGCAGGAAATGAGCAGGGCCTTGGTGTGTACTCTGCAGATGACTCCTTACAGATATTAAAATACATCATTAATGCATTTTCAGGAGAGCAACCTGTCTGGGAGGCTCCGGGGGCACCGCAGGGCTGAGCCCCACCTGGAGCGGGGATTCCGCCCGTGCCCAGCGGAGCTGGGGCTGGGGAGGGCGTGAAAGATTAAATGTGAAAGAGAAAATTTCATTCATCACATTGCTATATAACGTTCCTGCTTCAGCCCAGTAGCAAAAACTGTGTTTTTATAGGCAAACGGTTGCACAAGTGTTGGTTTTTTAATCCTTTTTCAACGCAATACAATGTATTTCCTCAAGAAAATCTACGATCCTTCCAGTAAGGGCAGGGCTCTGGGGCAGCCCGGCACGAGCAGAGCAGCAGCGCTGGGTGGGGACGGGTGGGGAGCCCGGGGCCAGCGCCCCCAAAAAGCTGAACGGGGGCAGAGCTGCGGAGCATCAATGGCCATCAAACGGGAGAGCGGCTGGCGCTGGGCGGGTGCGGGAACCTGCGGCTCTCCCCCACCTCCTCGGGAGAGAAGAGCCGTGAAACAAACCCGCAGGTTGCACATCCATCGCTCGGGGTGGGGCCGTGCTCGCATTTCCACCCGGGCACCGCCACGAGCGCCGGGCACGGGGGACGGACACGGGCGTGTGACGATGCTGCGGAGAACGGAACGAGCCGCGGCTCTCAGCACCGGCAAAGGCGGCCGAGCGCTAACGGAGAGCCCTTCCCACGGTTTCACTCCCGGTCACACACCCCAAAAGCGGTTCTGGGGACCGCCAAACCTCCAGCCGAACGTGCCCCTGCCCCGCCCCGGCTCCCGGCGAGAGGCGCTGCCCGCTCTGCCGCCCCTCGCCCCGCTCCCGGCGGGATGCGGCCGCCCGGGGGTGCGGCTGGGGATGCCCGAGGGGCCGGGGGCACCCTCCTGGCTGCTCCCCGGGATCGTGCCCGCAGGGGAGGGGGCTCGGCGGTGCCCCCCGGCCGTCGGGTGCCCCCAACCCCCGCGTTACCTCCAGCCCCGGGCGGGGGGCGCGGTGCATGCGCAGCCGCCGCTGCCCTTCATTCATAAAAAAAAAAAAAAAAAGGGGAACCAAAAAAAAAAAAAAACCAAAAAAAAAAGAAAACGGGAGCCGCATCCGCGCTCCCCTCCAGCCCCCATTCATAAAACGCAGCGGAGCATGCGCGGTGCCGCCGCGGTGCCCACCCATTCATAGAGTCGGGCGGCCGCGCAGGCGCAGGAGCGGCCGCTGCCCTCCCATTCATAAAATAGCCATTTTCCCAGGCGGGCGGGCGGGCGGCGCAGCGCCGCTGACAGCGCCGCGCTCGCTGCTGTGCCCGTGGTCTGCCCCGCTCTGCCCGGCTCTGCCCCGCTCTGCCCCGGCTCCTGCCGCTCCTCCGGGGCCGGCCCCTCGCTCTGGGATTAACTCGCCTCTGGAGACATGGTCCTGGCCGAATTACTTAAAGTAAGTACGAGATCGGGGCTTGCGAGAGCAATTGTTAAGTGTTTTAAGTAGGAAAAGCCAAGCCTGCTCCCCGAGGGAAAATCCTGCGCTCGTTCTGGATGTGTTGGGCTGCTCCTTACAGATCGCTGATCATGAGCGTATTTCTGGCGATGACTTTTCTAACAGTGATTAGCTATAATTACCGACAGTGGAGAGCTGCCTGGTGCTTCCCAGCCTAGAGGAGACTTGGCATTCTGGAGAAATATCCTGTTCCTTGCAGAATTTCCATTTGTGTCCCTGCGTCTCTGATTTATACCTCTTTTCTGTGTTCTCCCATCAACATCTGCATTTGCTGTACATATATGGCAGGCAGGTTTCAGCACACTTGGGTCGGGCTTGTTTGCAGGCGTTTCCAGCAGAATAAGTGGCTTTTTTCTGCTGATGGGATGTCTTCTCCTCCATCCCTCCTTCCTTCCCCGAAAAGGAGCATAAATACATGGTCACCTGGGCTGACAAGTCAGAATTGGATCTTTCTTGCTTTGGAATGGATTATCCGCATTTCCTCTCTTTTCCAAAGCCCTGTCTTGTGAGTGTCAAGTAGTTTTTAGCTGTCTCCATAATAGGACACTTCGGAAATCAGCCACTCATGTGTCAGACCTTTCCTGCATGACCTTTGCTCTTCACATTTTATTTCATACAAGCCTTTTTTTCTTTTTTTTTGGCCTCAGTGCCTTATTCCATCACTGTTCTTCCCTGTCTTGCTGTACACTTGTTTTAAATCTGGATGGATGCTGTATTTTAAAGGTTAGATGAGTAATAAAAATGTGTACCTGGAATAACTTCACCTAATATATGAAATATTTTATGTATGGAGGCAAAACCTGTGCTGGCTGCTCCTTCCTACCAACTGCGTAGCAAAGATAAGGCAGGATTTTATTTTCTGGTACAGTCCTGGCGTCACAGGAGAAAGACAAGCCTAGAGACGACATGTTCTGAAAATTCATTATCAGGAGGGGAATGGAAAAAGCAGAAAGGGCCATATAAAAGGCACAAAGGTCTCAGAGGAAAGCAGGAGTGAGAATGCAAACCTTGGAAATGGCAGTGCAAAGGAATATCACGGGGGAAAAGGCTTCCCTCTTTCACCTCCAGTTACCGAGGGTCTGATTTCTTCATTTAAGTCCTGTGTAGCCCCAAGTTTTTCTTTAAAGGGTGAAGGAGAGAAGGAAAAGCATCCCTGCATTATCCAGAGTGGAAAAGGCACGTTCTAGATTCTTTTAAACTTCTCCAGCTGCTGCCTTTCCTCCATACCATGCCAGGGGGACACTATGGCAAGAAATTGCTGTTTAATTAGCTAAAGAGGAACCCAGCTTTCCCAATATTAAAGCTTCCCCTCTCTGCCTTTATTTGGGGTTAAAGAATAAAGCCCCAATTTGTGCATGGAATCACAATGATCCTGATGCCTGGCTTCCCCCTTGTCCATATAAAAATGACTGATAGCAGGAGGAGGGGTTGCTCTCAGTTATTGGAACCCCACTGGGGATGTCTCGTTGATAAATGTGCCCTTTTCCATGGGCTACTGTGTGTTCCCTTGCTGGAAGGGACTCTATATTGGGATTATAAAATTAAAAGGACCATTTCTGAATACTGCAGTCCTTTTGAAATGCTCCATGAGGTATGTGCAGGGGAGAAATTATTTGTTCTCCTCCTGAAACAGCAAAACAAAAGCTGTTTTCCTGGAATCATGACTAATTCCCAAATCATACTGGGGAATGCAACATCTCAAAAAGCAATTCCTACCCCCCCCCCAAAAAAAAAATTCTGTTCTCAGTCGGTGAAATAAAATTCACATACCTTACAACACTACAGCAATAATTAATTACCAGTTCTGACAGTTTTCATAAAATTAAAGGTGAAAGAAAAAAAAATCATTCATCACATTGCTATATAACTTTCCTGCTTCAGCCCAGTAGTAAAAACTGTGTTTTTATAGGCAAACGGTTGCACAAGTGTTGGGTTTTTAATCCTTTTTCAATGTATTTCCTCAAGAAAATCTACAATCCTTCCAATAAGTTTATCATTTAGTACCATTATTTTAATAGATCATATCTGAGCTTAGTTTTCTGACCTTAAAAGAAATGTTTTTGTCCAGTAAAAGGCTTTGACTGAGAAATCCAAGTCCCCAGAGATCTGAATGCTAGTGGGCCAAAATGTGCTTTATTCGCTCGCACCATAGGAACAGACTTTAGCTGGACAGAGACAGCTTCTTGGAAGTCTACAGGTCTCATTTCCCAGCTCCTGAATTTCCACGCTCTGGCAAGAATTTTGTGTCTCGTTTTAAAAATGGCAGGTTTCCCTAATAAGCTTTCTAATTTTTTTCCTACCTTATTGCTTGTAGAGAAGATTCTAGCTGGCCTTAGCTAGATAAGGCTGCTAAGGAGGGGAACAAAAAGAACGAGTGCCAATATTTTGTTAATATTAATACACACTTTAGGGGAAAAAAGCATATTTTTCCTTTTTTTTGAAGCATTTACGGCTCGACTCAAAATCCAGACAGCCGAACTCAGCCTTAATGAACTCCAACCTTATGAATTATTCTTAATCCCACATTAAAAACATGTGCTTGCTGCGAGGTCTCCTTTAACTACCTCTGAGTGTAGTCTTCCTCATTAAAAGCTTTAATTGCAGCCTTTGGCTTGCGCCAGGAGCAGGGTGTCCCATGTCACTGCTGGCAGGCCTGGACAAGAGGATGTCCTCAATCCCAAACCAAGGCGGGGCAGAATTTGTTCCCTTGCCTCCAGCTGCTCTGCTGGGCCCGGGGGAGCAAATCCTTTATTGATCACTCGGGTGGGAGCCTGTCCTGCCCAGTGCTCAGGTGCAGCTCTGCCCAGCCCTTCTAGAGGAGTGCTTTTTAACCAAAAACTGCTTTTTAACCAAAAACTGCTTTTTAACCAAGCCACCAGAGGAGACAGACTGCTGGTGACAGATCAGATTTGGCACTGGCTGCCATCGACTCTGAGCTGTGCTGCCTAGCACAGGCCTGGAAATGTTTCTGCCCACCCCTGGCATGATGCTGCTTCCAATGTATTGCTTTCAATTATGATCATTTCCTGTGTTAAGACTAAATATTCTGTGCTTTTCTTGTTTTCTTCCCCTTGCACCATTTCAGTATTTTCAGAAATTCGTGTGTCCCAGACAGCAAAGGAAATAAAGCCATTTCTGCAGTGCATTTCCTGCAGCTATTGCAGCCTCTGTGTCAGTGTCAGTGAGTGACTGTCACAACTCCTCCAGAGACAAATTCAACTTTTGCATTGGTAATGGGGTCACAGCATGGTTTGGGATGGAAGGGACCCTAAAGCTCATCCCATTCCACCCCAGCCATGGCAAGGACACTTCCACTGTCCCAGGGGCTCCCAGCCACATCCAGCCTGGCCTTGGGCACTGCCAGGGATGCAGGGGCAGCCCCAGCTGCTCTGGGCACCTGTGCCAGGGCTGCCCACCCTCACAGGAAACAATTTCTTCCTAAAATTTAATCTAGCCCAGGTGTAGTATCAGTGACCGAGGGAAGGTGTGATCCCTCTGTAGGTGCCAAGACTCGGAGTTGTCTGGTCTGACCCAAAGCAGATCCCCAAAAGAGCAGCTCAGCTCTTACCCCATCCCAGTGCAGGGCTCAGCCTTTCAGCAGTCCGTGGCAATTGCTCCATCCCTTCTTCACAGAAGCTTCTGATGCTTCAACAGTTGGGAAACTCTTGGAAACCTGTGATTGAAAACTTATGTTGAAGCATCAAATTTGCTTTATTCCCTTTACAGTTGGACTTGATGATCTTAAAGGTCTTTTCCAACCTTAACAACTCTATTGTAAGGAGGTGGTTTTTTGTGCACCAGTGCTCTCCATGCCCCCAGCACCATTACAACCGTTTTCATTTATGAGATATATAAATATAATGGTCCTGGAGATGGCCACCAGCCCCTGGCAAAGGGCAGCAGGGCAGCACTGGCAGGCTCAGCAGCTCCCTGATGTTCCAGGGCACAGTCCAGGCTCCAGAAAGGAGCCACCAGAGATGTCACAGGACACGGAGGGGACAATCCAGTGCCAGCAACCCCAGGAGAAATCTTGGTTTGCTGAGGCAAACAGCTCCTCCTGCCCTCGGTGCTGTCAGACACAACAGAAGGGACAGGCTGCTCAGGAGGTGTCATTAAGGTGGAATTAATTAGGGAGAGCTAAGTGGCCCCTGATCTGGAGCACACAGCTGACAGACACAAGGGTTTGGTGGCTGCATCGCTTCCCTGCCCACCCCGGGGTCTCTCAGCAAACACAGCCCAAGCAGCACATTTGGGGCTTTTTGGCTTTCTGTGACATTTGAGATTCCCTTTAGACATTTCCATGGAAGAGCTTGTGTCCAAAAAGGGTTGGGCAGAGCTGTGGGACCTTGTGCCTGGTTCTGGCTGCAGAGGAGGAGCTCGTGGAAGCTTTTCCTGTTTTCCTGCTGCCTGCACTGGGGATGTGGCAGTCCCGGGTTGCCCAGGATTGCTTCCCCATGGGACCCTCCTCTGGACTTAAGTCCCTTACTCTTATTATTCTTTTATTACCACAAACATCTAGAATATTGTTAAATATGTGAGAAAGAACTTATTAAAATTATTAACCAGTGGGTGACTCAGATGGTTATGAACATTTTATGTTTCTGCACTCACTGGATTTTTAAGTCAAAATCCATTTTGTTTTTCAGTTTCTGGAAGATTTGTTGTCCGACTCCACTCTGAAAATAAAGATATTAGACCCTTATTCTTTCAAAACTTGTTCTGAAGATGTTAATGAGAATGAGTTGTCCTGAGGGTTGACGTGACTTTCTCATGGAATTGCCTACAAGGATAAAATGATGTAGGAAAATCCAAAATCCTACTAAAACATAACATGCCTTTTGTTTTAATTTCATCTGATTTCAAAACCCTACAAAACTTCTGAGTCTGAAATAATACCAAAACACTTTACAATAACAGTTGGTTTCCTACAACTTTAGGACTTGCAATTACCCAGTACAACAGTAATTTTAAATTGGCCATATCTTGATGAAGAGATGGAACAAACACTGCAACACGTGTATGAACTTGACTTTTGAGTCCAATTTTACTCCCTTGGAAGGAAGTATATTTTGACTTGAAAATTGTATGTGGTGAGTGATTGTACAGTCATGGGGGAAGAGAATTTTTTTCTCTACATGGGAGTTTGCTGCCTTGAAAAGAACCTCATTGTTTGCCTCTAAAGAATGAAAAATTCCCTATGTAAGAATACAGTCATGGCTTTTTCTTCCTGTTGTCTACTTTAAGAAAATTATCTGTACAGTTGCAAACAGTGAATTTGTGCCTGTGTTAATGCTGTAATACATCTGTAATTACCTGTGATCAAAAATTAATTAATTTTGTGTGCTGTATGGCTTTTTTTCCTCAATTGAAATGCAATTTACAGTCAGGATTAGTGCAGTGGACAGCAAAGATCCCTAAGGTTGCACCCCTCAGCTTTTGTCCTCTTTCAAGGTCTAAAGTTCAGCTGGGTTACCCCAGACATTAATTTTGATTTGGGATCTGGCTGGGAGAAGCTGTATAAATTCGGTTTATAAGGTACCAGCGTTGCTGCTGAAGGCAACGTTATCCTTGTGAGCAAACACCCCACGTGTTTTGGGGGTGGGTTTTGGGGGGAGGTGAAGGAAAGGCTGCCCTGCCTCTGGGTACACATCAGCCAGAAAAGGTCTAGTGGTGACTGAGGGATCATCCAGGGAAGTCATGGGGCCCCACCAGGTATCCACACACTCCACAGGGACAGGCTGGCTTAGGGTCTCCTTCTGCCCCAGCACAAAGCCCTACCCAGGATGGGCTGGATTGCTCTGTGCCCTCTGTGCCAGGCAGGTGGGGCACTGTGTGCCTGTCCTGGGCCAGACACGGGGCACTGACAGCTGAGGGAAAGGTGCCCACACACCCAGACACACCCTGGGCACTGCCCTGGCTGGCACCTGGCAGTGCCCAGGGGAGAGGAGGCTCCTGGCAGCACGAGCAGCACCCAGCTCACCGCGAGCCCAGCACTCGAGGTGTTTGACCTGGATCTGTCACCGGCCATCTCGCTGCGCTGCTGCAATTTCTGGTGACAAGGCCAGCAGCAGCAACGTAGTCATGGTCCTTGGAAAATTCCATAAATATCAGAAACATTTGTCTGCTAAGAGCAGCATGAAAGGGGAGAGCAGTTAACTGCAGAAACCCTCTGCTCAGGAGAGAGAGGGCAGGGCAGAAAGTGGAGGACCACATGTCCAAGCACCTAAACCTATCAGGGTGGACATCTGTGGTGGTTTAAAGGTGATCTTGATTGAGCCAAAATGACATTGTGGCCAGAGCAGGGCTCTGGGAATGGGAAGAGCTGGGTCTTGTTTGGTTGTTTTCCCTCCACAGGCTTTATCCAAGTAGATCCTGTGCCCAGATATCTGCAGGGTCTTTGAGTTCACCATGTCAGGCTTCCCTTCCCCTTGTCCTGCAGAAATAGTTTATCTATTAAAAAGACAATTTGAAACTGTACTACAGTGAAAAAAGAGGATGAAAACACCTGACGTGTGGTGTTTAGTCCAGGGTCCCTCTCCTTTCTGTGGTAATTAACTGAAATCTTGATTAGCACTATCTCAGATAAGCCATCTTTAACATCTGCCTTGTCTGTGCATGATGGGGATGTTTGAGGAGTGGCCTGGCTCTAATCCTTCCCCAGACTAATCTGGTGACACCATTTCTGTGTGATGGCATCACTGGCCCTGGACCACAGCAGAGTTAATGCCACCTCCAGGGGCTCCCACGCTGCCACCAGCAATGCAGAACGCCCTCGCTGTGCCACCCTGGGCAGGCAGAGGTGCCACCCTGGGGACAGGCAGCACCAGCTCACTGCCTGGGCTGGGCAGCTCTGCTCCACACACGTGCTGCCACACAGGGCAGCACCTTAAAACAAATGGTTCTCCGTGGATCCAGTGGAAATCTGGTGAATGCAGCAGATTCCCAAGAGCTGGTAACAAGTGGGAGTGAGCAGAGAGCCCTGGAGGGGCCACGAAGGCAGGGCTGGCAGGGCCAGGAGGAGCTGCAGCGCCCTGCAGCACTGCCACCATTTCCTCCAGCTACCTTCCATCTAAGATCAGCTCTGCTGCACTTACTCTTGGCAACCAAAACAGCTGCATCTCTCTCCTTTAAAAAAAAACACCAAAACAACAAAAAAAAACCCCAGTGGAATCAAAGTCTCCCTGCAAATGTAACACGCAGCCGATACAGAACTGATGATTTTGCTAAACTCTGACTTGCAGCAAATACTTTTTATATCATGACACTGGATGCTGATGCACAAAAGAAAATCAAGTTCTTTTCCCTCTGCACACACCATAGTTGTCAGAATCATTGCTTCTCTTTGTTTTTTACATACAGTAACTAGCAAGAGATGCTTTATAAACCCTCTTGTTCCCCCAGTCAGGATGTCAATGAGCTATGAATAATGAAATGAAAAAAAATCCAAATGAATGGCTAAGACCCAGCAGAGAATTTGAACTGGGGAAGCAAGGCAGCATAAGGGCTGCATGACAATAATGATCATTACTGCTAAGAAAGCAGTTCTTCCCGTGGTACAGGGGACACGGGGGGCCTGGCAGGCCGGACCCGGCATGTGCCCGTCCTGCCCTCCCGCTGATCCCGGGAGCACTGGCGCTTCTCCAGCCCCAATGCCAAGTGATCCATCAGAGCAACGATTTACAAACGCAAGAGTGGACTCTGGTGGCATTTTTCAAGGGGTAAAAATGGGCTTCCCTTTCTTCTCCCAGGAATGCGGAATCAGGTCTTGCTCCGATTTTTGTCGTGTTCATTTTAGGGGAGATGTGCTCTCGCAGAAGTGCACACACATTTACACACACACACTTCTCGTGCATTATTTGGTTGTAGCTGGATGCAGTTTTTTCCTTTTTCCCACTGCTGTGATATTGAAAGTCATAGAATCACAGAATCATTTGGTCGGAAAAGACCTTTAGGATCATCGAGCCCAGCTGTTAAACCAGCGCTGCCAAGACCAAATCTTTCACGCTGTTGGAGAAGGTTAATTTATTTGTTGAACACAAACAACTGGCAATGCCTTAAGCTGTTCACTACTTCCTTTTTCTTGATACCAGCAGCTTTTCCCCTCCTGCGACCAAAGCTTTACTCACCCCTTCTTTCAACCGATCTCCAGCATTATATTATTTATGAATAAAGGTCACCCCGTGAGGAAATGGCACATCTACTAGAAAACAATGTGCACTTTCTAAATTTGAACTGAGTCGTTTCCGTTCTTTGATTTAAGTTTAGTTACTTCCTGTGGTTTCTTGTCCTACGCCACTGCTGAATCTTTGGATTGACTCCAGGATAAATTGCACTCTTTCAATGAAATTAGAAACTGCGGCGCTGACGGCTCAGCCAGGGCAGCTGGTAAACAGCATTTCAGCTGAATATTAGTGCACTTAGTGGGCTGCACGAGTGTCTCATTACCTGTGTGAGGTGATGGATCCGGCCTGAGCCATGGGGGTGTTCTCCTGGGAGCTGCACCCTTGGCTCCCACCCTGGTTTGCCTCCAGACAAGGTGCTGAGCAAGCACTTCCACCTCCCCTGGGAGGGATGAAGGAGCGTCTGGAACCAGCGGCTCCTGATGGAGAGGGGACACTTCCTCACCAAAATCAATCCATCCTCCCACTGGCAGATCCTTGGTTAGCACGGACAGGTGCTCAGCCCCATGCTCAAAGGCATCCTTGTACCAGGCCAACGCTTCCACAAGCCACAATCCTGCATCAGGCTTTTTAGGGATCAGGGTCAACTGGGGAAAGCCTCCAAAGTTTAGAGAAATCATTTCAGGAAATTTGCTGACAAAACCACATGTAAATGTACACCAGAAGCCCCAAGATTTGCTTTCCCTCTGTAAAACCATGAGTGAGCTCTTCAGGAGCCTGGAATGACCACAGCGCTCCCAGGGCTGGAAGAGCTATAGATGGCCAGGTCAGGGAGAGGGATATGGTAGCAAAGGAGGAGTGAGGCACTTTGTACCCGAGTGCTCTGCCTTCTCAGACACAAGTTTACCTTACAAGACCCTCAGCACAACAACCAGCCTCAGCAAAGAGCCCTTTTGGGCCAGGTTTGCAGGACACCGCAATAACAGTGCGCTCTCTCTCCCTCTCCCCCATCCCTTTTCTTTCTCCTTCCCTTCTCCCAGGACACTTGAGCACAGGTTTCCCCCCAGCAGTCAGCCAGATTTCTCAATGGAGCCCCGGATCCCCCACAACATCACCGTTGTCCCCAACTCTGCCATGGTGCAGCCCTTGCTGGACAGTCGGATCCCCTACGGGCGGCTGCAGCACCCGCTGACCATCCTGCCCATCGACCAGATGAAGACCACCCACATCGAGAACGACTACACCGACAACCCCAGCGCCTCCCAGCCGCCGGCCCAGAAGCGTCCCCGAGCCCCCCACGAACCGGGCTCGGCCGGGCAGCACCCGCAGCGCTGCGAGCAGGATGTCACCCACCCCTGGATCTCCTTCAGCGGGCGCCCCAGCTCCATCAGCAGCAGCAGCAGCACGTCCTCAGACCAAAGGCTCCTGGACCACATGGCCCCGGTGCCCGTGGCGGAGCAGTCGTCCCCCCGCGCCGTTCGCATCCAGCCCAAGGCCATCAACTGCAAACCCCTGGAGCTGAAGGGCCCCGCGTCTCAGGAGCTGGACAAGCACTTCCTGCTGTGCGAGGCCTGTGGGAAATGCAAGTGCAAGGAGTGCGCCCTGCCCCGGACTCTGCCCTCGTGCTGGGTGTGCAACCAGGAGTGTCTGTGCTCGGCGCAGAACCTGGTCAACTACTCCACCTGCATGTGCCTGGTCAAGGGCGTCTTCTACCACTGCACCAACGAGGACGACGAGGGCACGTGCGCCGACCACCCCTGCTCCTGCTCCCACTCCAACTGCTGTGCCCGCTGGTCCTTCATGGGCGCCCTGTCCCTGGTGCTGCCCTGCCTGCTCTGCTACCTGCCGGCCACCGGCTGCGTCAAGCTGTCCCAGAGATGCTACGACCAGGTGAGCCGGCCCGGATGCAGGTGCAAAAACACAAACAGTGTCATTTGCAAGGCATTGCCCGAGAGCAAAGGGGCAGAAAAGCCCTTTTAATAGTTTGGGAGGACGGAATTGGGAGGCTGTTCCGCGGAGCAGGGTGGTGTTGGCTCTGTTTAACAACCTGTGTTCTGAGGAGAGCGTCAGCCTCTCGCCTTCGGAGAAAGCGGAAGCAACTATTTCCACAGACTGAAGCACTTTGGGTTATTCAGGGTTTTTGGAACTGGTCGCAGTTTAAATAGATGGGGCCAAAGGAGGAATGTTAGTAATGCAGAGGGAAGGCTGCAAACCCATGTACACCATGAAGTACAGCTGCTGAAATCTCCCAGCTTGGACAGACGGCTGCTCACCAGGCCTGCACACCACAGGAACCATTAACTGCTCGCTCGGCAGGCACCGCCTCACAACCAATCCCCCATTCCCAGCTGCAAAAAGCTGCTTTGGATTCAGATTCAGGGCGGGCTACTTGCTTCCTGTCTCCTTCCAAACCCCAGCTCGCTCCCAGCAGCCTGCTGAAGGTGATGGGGGAACTCCCTGCACCCTCCTTCCCTCCTAGTCACCACTCCAAGGGCTGGTTGCACACAAAGTACGTGTTTCCCAAAAGCTTTCTGTCTCCCTCAAAGATTTTTGGACCACAAGTGAAGCTAGATTTCATTTGTTGAAGGGTCTTCTGCCCTTTGGGTGTATCCCACCTGGCCCCACTGGTTTGGACCCTCTTTGTAAAGCAAGATGGTAGCAGGGCTGCTCCTCCCAGGGGGAATTGCAGCAGGATGTGTTCAGGCAGTTGTATCAACACCGAGTCCTCCTGCCTGTAAGCTGATCCGTGGCATAAGGTTTCACTGGATGGAATATGAATTTTCCCTCCACAGAACAGCCCCTCTCCAGGAGGAAGGGGGCCAGTCCCATTTCCCCCAGGCCCAGCTCGCTCCCCGGTGCCGGAGCAAAGGGGAGGTAACCCAAGCCACAAAGCGAAGTCGGGCGGGGTTTGTTCCCTAAACCTCTTAAGCTCTGGTAAGAAGTCACACAAACCTAAGTGTACGATGCACATAGATGTATTTTTCTAGGGATCTCAATCCAGTACCTCCCCTCCTGGAACAAGCTCTTCTTTGCTCATTAGATACTAAGATTTGTTTTTGTCTTGGGGGTAAATGGCATTTGCTTGAAGTACAGCACATTCCCCCACCCCTATTGCTGCTGTTTGACTTTTGCCTCTTCTGTACAAAAGTGTCTTTTTAAATGTAAAGAATGCTTTTAGTGTTTATTTTAGTGTTAACACACACTAGGGAAAGCCAGGGGAAGGAGGAGAGTGTAGTTAACAAATGGGCCCGTGGTTTTCAACATGCAAATATTGGCTCTGTCTGTGCCCTCATCCTGAGGCTGGTTCTGCCTTCCCCAAGGGTGCTGTGACCCCTCTCTCTTGACAACTACAAGGTGCTAAACAAGAATCTTGGTCCAAACATGCAACACTCTAACGAGTAGGTAGGTACTTGTTGCATGCAGAAAACTGACCTAGTCTCTCTTGGTGTTTTTAATTAGAGGAGATGTCCTCAGTAAATGCACAGCAGTGACAGTGAAATGTCATCTCTAATTAGATAAGCAATAGGCAGAGCTCATGTAGCATTTCCAGGAATCCCCTTGGCCTGGTTGTGATGCAGCCACGGGTAGGGGCTGGCAGCAGCGTCCTGATGGGGTTCTGGTGTCTTTGGGTTTCAGAATTCAGCTCAGCTGGATATGACTTGGGGTTTAGCTCAATTGACTTGTAGATATTTATTGAATGGGGGAGTTTAAAAAAAAATAAAACCAACCAACTTTTCTATTTATAACATTTGCTAGCTTGTACATGCTGAATCATATTATAAAAGGATGTAATGCCTGTTACCAGATACCAGTTCCTACAGGGTAGTTAACTGTATGTGGGCACCAGGAAGCAGGTGGGGATCCAGAGCTGTATTTATTATCTTGCACAAATTGGAGGGGAAAAGATAAAAGGAAAACCAACCCCAAACTAGCTGAACTGTTGGTTGAATGTATAAGATGTTGTATTTAATAAGAGAAATAATTTTCCTAAGATACAAGCAAGCTAGAAAAGGCCAGCAGGAGAGGTATTTACCTGCTGCCCTCCTCTGCTGGGACCACACATGTCCAAATGGCCTCCACCCAGGGCTGCTTTGCCTTTCTGACCCTCTGGCCCTGGCTGTTCCTGGGGAATCTGAAACCCGCGCTGGCAGAGCCCACGGCTTGGCTGCACGGCCCTGTGAGCAAAGGCACGCTGGAATTGTCACCACCGTGCCAACCTGCACTCATGCACCCATCCCAGCGCTCCCAGCCAGGTTTCCTCTCACTGTACATAGCTGTAAACTATTTCTCTGTTGCTTTGTTTGAATCCCCAAGCCCTGTAAGCCGACACACCGTGCTGGAGCCTGCCAAGCCTCGTGGATGTGTTCGAGCAGCGGTCAGCGTGGCAGAGTGACCCTCCCTCCTCCCCTGGGCTCCCAGCACGGCCGCTGGGCTCTGCCCCAGCCCTGCCAGCCCCGGGCATGACAGGAAGGTGCTGAGCCCTGCCTGGAGCTGGGACAGGGCAGGGCAGGGCAGTGCCAGGGGGAGCAGCTCCCGTCAGCGGCATCGCTGTTCCCGCTCTTCCCCATCCAACAATTCCATCTCCCCGCTCCCTCTGAAGGTACTTGGCTCTCCTGCCACCCCAGAGATGTACCAGGGGCACGGTGCCGTGTCACCGTGTCACAGCCCTCCGCCGTGCCAGGGTCAGAGCCCCGCTAACGAAGGGACAGCCGCTAACGAGCAGAGCGCTGCAGCCACGGCGCTGAGGGGCAGCTGTGGGGCAGGAGGGCAGGGCAGCTGCCCCTGGGCCCGGTGCCATGCTCTGGAGGAGGAGGAGGAGGATGGCAGGGCACCTGCACTGCTGATTGCTGCAGCTCTGCTAATTGCTGCAGCAGGCTCAGCTCGCCCCTGCCCTCGCAGAACAGCCCAGGCAGCAAGGAGGGGGACCTGAGGGTGCTGGCAATGCCACACCACGTTCCCAGCAGCAGCAGAGTGGCCCCAACAGACAAACACCCCCTCAAGCACAGCCCTGTGCCCAGCAGGTGACAGGAGCAGATCCCACCTTTGGTGCTCCCTGGGCACTGGCTCTGCCACCCTGATGAGCCCTCGCCTTCCCAGCACTGGGTATTCCCTTCCCCTCCCACGCTCAGACACCCTGAGAAATATTTCCCCACCTCCTCTTACCACCCCCTCACATGTACACCCTGAAAAGTTACCACAGAAGGTTTTTCTTTGTATAGAATATTTATTTTGAAGTTCTATTTTAATAGTATTTATTTTAGAAAGTCTACTATTGTAAGAGTTCTTCTGTTTGTGAAGAAAAACAAGTACTGATGAATGTACTGATCTAGAAATTATATATATATAAAAATATATATTGTTAAATATATAAATGGCTGTTGTGGTTCTTTTAAAAAAAAAATCCCAAGAATGTTTATAGCAATTACTCTAAAAATACAAGCAGAGAGTAGCCCAGAATTGGTTATTTGATGCTTTGCAGCCCTGCCAAGGAGCTCAGGGTGATGCTGGCATTGCTCTGCCCCACAGCCTGGCACATCAGCAATTAATTACCCTCAAATCCCCTGCAGTGGGAAGAGCCAGAACCTCAGTGAGGGGCTCTGTGAGCTTGCAGGAGCAATCCTCTCCTTCCCTGCCCCACTGACAAATGCCAGCCTGGGAGTCAGGCTGCCCCTTCCAGGGGGCTGAGCCCTCAGGGTGACAGGGGACGGGCACCAAAGAGCACCAACCACAAAGTCAGCAGCCCCAGCACTCAGAGGGGCTGTGCCAGCCCATCCCACAGAGCCTCCTTCAGCATTTCACACCCATTTCCAGCTCTCCTGCTTCTCCTTCCCAGGGGCAGAGCAGTGCTGCCCACACCAGAACAGCCCCACCAGGGCCGTGGGTGGGCACAGAGCATCCTCCAGCCCACCCCAAGGCCCCCCCAGACATGGGGGCAGCCAGAACTCTCCCACCTCCTTGGAAAAGGACAAGAAAGTGCCAAGAACCAACTCCCCGAGCCTCTGCTCACCCTGCACAGCCCCTGAGCCACATCCTGGAGCTCCCACCCACCACCCTTCCTGCCCCCAGCTCTTCATGTGTCACCAGCATCACGCTGGACTGCTAAAAATACAGAATCCGGCTTATTTTTCACCATTCCTGTTATTTATTTGCACACACTGTGGAGCTGTGACTCACTGGAAGCTGTGCCATGTTTTGTGTCATCACAGAGGTAACCCGAGTGTGTTACCTGGCCTGCAATAATATTATTGAAACAATAATGTTGAATCAGTCAATGGATCAGATAAAGAGACAATAACTACACTGTGCACATCACGACGTCTGATGCCAAAAAAATTGCAATAAGGAAAAGATACTGCATTTGTTATGCTGGGGGTGGTTTTTCTTTTTTTTTTTTTTTTTTTTTTTTTTTTTTTTTTTTTTTTTTAACAAACAGACTGAGCCAGGATGTATAAATTTAAATCAGAGTTTGGCAACACCAACTGATGTCTTGCACATAAAGCTTTAAAAATACCAACACAACGCTCATGTCTCTCTGCTGGAAGAGAACCAGAGCACTCTGCTTGATTTGAGCAGTAGATGTTAAAGCAGTATTTTTTAAATCTACTAGAATTATCAGCCTTTTTTTTAATCCTTTTTTACATCATTTTCAGTTACTGGCTCTCAAAGGAAACCAACTCCAATTCCAAAAGCACAGGCTATGAAGAGATGCACAGAGCTAAGAGCACAACAGATTTCCCAGTCCTAGAGCAAGCCCAGCTCTTGGCTGGCAGACCTGAAAGGGAATTTCTGGTGAATCAAAGCACCCTAAAATACCCTAAATCAATGTATTAATTCTGAGAGAATGGGCTGAAACTAACAGAAACTATGAACTTACAGAAAAAAGTGACCAGATCAAGCAGGTTGCATCCCTTGATCCCTTTCAACCCAAACCATTCTGAGATGCTACAAAATGAGATAAAAACCTAATTTTTAATTACTTTTAAGACTATTTTTCTGAAATATCTACTTAATAAGCATGATGAGATTTTCCCAAAGGTGCAAGTGTTGCAGACAGGTAAAAGATGTAATAAAAGGCCTTATGAAACCAGGCCTTGCTCTGCTAGTCTGTCACTTCTTCTAATTTCAGATAACTTGCAAGTTCCCATATTAAACAATCTTGGGTATGAAAATTTTGTGAACTCAACAACCTATTCCTTGGGGAGAAAAATAGGGGCACCTATTTAAACAATAGATCTTGTCCCGTGGGAAGCCACAAAGGATGTAAACACCTGAATGTGAATATGTACACGCAAATCACCTTCTGACTAATAAATGAAGTAAGAAAACTATCAGCCAATTGGTGTTGCACATGAGTCTGTGAAAACTGCCTAGAAGGAGTTATGTGAATAAAGAATTGGCTTTTCTGCATGGAGAAAATGGAGTCCCAGGTGCCTTCTGCCAACATTGGTGGGATCTTTGCACTTTGTTTTACTTCCTCCCCACAATAACCTCCTGTGGGAGCACTGAACCCCTGCTGAGCACCATAAAACTTCAGGGATGTCCTCAGAGGGGGTTCCTACACAGGACAAGCTTCCCTTTCCAGGAGAAGGAGGAATTGGCTACAGAGGTGAAGGCAAAGCCTTTCAGCAGGGTCTCAGCCCTCCTCTTGCACCCCCACAGCCTCCACAGGCTTTGGGACAGAGCCACCCCAAACAGACCCCAGGGTCCAAGCTGGACACCAGGTTTTGAGGCACAAGAGGGGTGGAGAGGCTTCACAGAAGTTTCTGACCATGCCCAGGCCACCAGAGCCCATCACAGCCCTGGATGACCAACTAGGGCACAACAAGGCTTCTGCTGCTGCAGAAAATCAGTAAATGGCAAGTGAAAAACAACCAGCAAGCTGAGAAACATCAGCCAAAAATGTGACTGGAGGAGAGACTCAAAAGGTGTTCATAAAAATAAATAAATAGAAACCTTTGTGTCTCCCTGGTGTAAACACCTGCATTTATTTCACGTGGGCTCAACAGCCCCCCAGCAGCAGATGAGGGCTCAGGACCAGAGTTCAACCCCACCACAGCCTGTTAAACCCCAAAAAGAGCCAAGAGCCAGCCAGGATTTCAAGTTTAAGGTTTCTGATCACTCTGCCAGGCTCTTGCCCACACCAGCTGGGGACTGGGCAGGGAAAGCACCTCCTGCTCCCTCCCAGGCTAGCTGGGTTCTGTGCTCCCAAGCACAAAGACACAGGAATTTCTCCATAAAAACCCTAAAAAATTTACTCTTCACTATTCCTGAAGAGAGGGAAGACTGAAGCACGTACTTCCCATTAGCACCATACCACTGCAGCTTCCATTGACATTTTCCTGCCCTTACAACAGGGAATAAACAGAAGTTTCTGCATGAAGAAACTCTTATGAATAAATCATCCAGCCCCGTTCTGCTCAGAGCAGGTATGTTTGTGATTATGATGCCATTATGTAACCCAGTGCTCCTAATCAGAAACACAATATTCTCAGAGCACAAAACTGGGACATTCTGCAGCACATCCCTCTGCTCCAGGTATGGCCCTGGAGCCTTCAGCCACGTGTGGAGCAGCAAAACCCTCCACCCAGAAATGCCCTGCTCTGAGCTGGCAAGGAAATGGTTCCTATTGTCCCTTCAGGGAAGTCACCGTGTCCAAGAGATGCTAAAGAATGAATTAATTAAAACTCCATCCTCATTGTGACAGTATTTAATTGTTTTTCATGGAGAGGGTGAGCCATCAGCACAGATCCTTACTTCCAGCATACAGGGGCTATGATCTAGGAGATCTAGAGTCCCACCAAAGCAAATTTTTCATCGTCTTTCATGTCTGAGGATGAGGGGTTACAGTTCTGTTTTAATCAGCAGCAGCCCCATGACAAATCAAGGCTGGCACAAACCAGCTCTCCTGATATTCCTGTAAATTATCCTTAGGAATACAACTAAATTTATGTTTTCTTTACATGGGTGCCTATCCACTGCTAAGAAACCTCCAGCTGTACTGGGGGCTAGAATGAGATGGTCTTTCAAGTCCTTTCCAAACCATCCTCTTTGATTCTGTGATTTCACAGTGACAGAAGCACAGGACTGGTGCTTCAGCGAGGTTGGGTTGGCATGAGTTATGGACAGGACAAACCCCACTCCTGAGGAGCCTCTGCAGCCACGCTGCCTCTGTGCCTGCAGCTCGCTCTCCACAGGGGCAAGGAAGCATCAGCAAGCAGCTCCCACCTGATTTCAGCAGGAGACAGCTCTGGCCACACAGCTTTGGACTGAACGGGAAGGTGGGAGTGTAAAAGAAGACCAGAGAGGATTCAGTGAAGTGTGAAGTTAAAAAAAAATGGCTTGGAGGGACCCCGTGCTGCTGGGAAGTAAAGGGATTTTCTGCTGGTCCCAAAGACGGGAGCAGAAAATGGGGCTTAGTGCTCCAGGGAGGCAGCAATACATCCCAACCATCCCTCCTCTGCAGGGTCAGCCTGGCTGAACACTGCAAACTGCAAAGGAAACCCAGAATGACAAACAATTGTAGGAACCTGAAAACCCCAGTTCCTCTGGATTCCATGGGAAGTGCGATTTTCAGTCCTCTGACCTGTCTGTCTGAGGGGAAGTGGGCAATAAATAGCAGCCGGGTTGTTATCAAGAGGATGTGAGCTATTTATAAAAAATTCTTGGGCTTTTTGAACTCTGTTTAAAGAGGCAATATCCTTGGCTTGGGTAATTGGGGGACTAAAATGCTAAAGCAAACACGATTACTCAGCCACCTTGGGAAAGTTTAGTGCTTACTTGTGTTCCCAAATTTTTGAGCATATTTAAACAGCTGCACTGGTATTGCCCCCAGATCCAGAGGGGAGTAGGAAGAGGGTTTGGAGATCCCCGTGCAGGGCTGAAAAGCTATAATATCCTGGCACTCCCAGCCATCAGCGCTCAGCAATCCCAACAGCTGATGCATACATGGCTTAACTAAACTGAAAGCCCAGGCTGGACAGGGCTTGGAGCAGCCTGGTCTAGTGGAAGGTGTCCCTGCCCATGGCAGGGGTGTTGGAAATGGGTGATCTTGAAGGTCCCTTCCAAGCCAAACCATTCCATGCCTAATTAAAAATACCTTACATGAATGAACTGCCTTGTCTGAAGGGGTTTCTAGGTGCCTTACAACACGTTGGCTTTCCAGCAGGATTTAACCATCTCCAGCTCGGAGGAAAAGAGTGGGTGCCAGCTCATGCCCTCTGCCACACAAGAGGGGAGGTTTTGGTGGGATGGCAAGGGGAAAACAAAGGCAAGATGAAGCCAAAGAGCTAAAGACCTCCTTGCTCGAGGAAACTCATCCCAGCCCTCTGACAAATTATTGTTTTTAACTAAACCAGGAAAAACTGCTGG